GCCGCTGACGATAGAGGTGTGGGCATTCCCCAACAACATGTTCTTATCAGCAGATGCCTCATTGTATGTTTTGAACATAGCACGATTGTTACATACATGCTTCAAGGCACCGGTATCTACCCACCATCCTTCTGAGTTACCGGTAAGGTTAACTTAAGCTATCATCTCTGTAACCATGGTCACCAAATCCTCTTCAGTTAAGTTAACACTGGCACTAGTGTTTGGCTTGTTCTTGCACTTTCTTGCTATATGACCTGGTATCCTATCCACCAATAGCCAAGTAATACAAATAATAGTGTTTGGCTTGTTCAACCTCCACGAGATTGTTCCTGTTGAGAACCATACACACAATAGGGAAGTTTAGGGGGGGGGGGGGGGACACACACGTACACAAGATGTTTTATTAACCGAGTTTGGCCTATTTATTTACGTCTCAGCTTAAAGGTGAAATACACTTTGAGAGCTAATGTCTAGGTTTTTATCATATTCCAAGTTGAGATCCTTTGGGTGGAACTCAGACCCTTAACGAGAATAGAGAAATACACCCCTTTCTCTCTTCTCACAAGAACTCACGCTAAAGAGAGAAACCACACAACCTCACAATTACTCAAGCAATACAGACAGTGAACCTCTATCACTTCTAAACCCTATTGATGATTATAGAGTGTTTGATCTTGTTTTGTGTAGGATTGCTCTGCCACGTTCTGTGAAGTTGTCTTGTTTCTTGATTGGAAGATCTTGTGATCATACTTTCACAACTATGCAAGTAAGATAAATCCAAAAGATTTATTCAATGTTGTTTCCTTTTGATGTATGGGATCAGAAAGGGAAAGCCTTTCTTTTCCCAACTCAAATTGCGCAAATAATCATTTTTGTGCACCACACTCATGGATTTGTTTGTTTTTCCAAGGCCTTTCTCTATTTGTGGTTGTGGAATCAGCCCTCAAAATGCTTCTGATTCTCACATACCCAAATATCTTTTGACAATCTACATTTGTACATCAAATGATCCACATCTTTTTCATCCACTAATCAAATAGTGCATTTGTATGGGAGAAGCCAACATCTCTTGTTCAGGTTCTCCTGCAAAAGAGTCTTATTCTGATAAGCAGCCCTTAAAAACACATATCTTGAGTGGTAAAGCTTGTTGCTACAAAACCTTGTGAGGAAATCCTCTAATTCCTTTTCTTCCAATAGGTTCGTGTACAGTGTTGCAATAGTGAAACCACCCATTGGACATAGCTTCCAGACTAGTCCCAAAAGCTATGCTCAAAACACAGAAGGTGATACAGACTCAAGAAGATTTAAAAGGTTCACTCGTTCTCTCTCATCCCCTCTCCACTGTGTTTTAAGACTCTGTACCCATGATATGCTTTCATTTTCAATGTTAATGTTGTCTAAGACTATGTTGTTTAGGGAGGCGGTAGTAGCTACAACTCTTAGAAAGGTGTCAGCAAGCATCACATCTTTATCCACCTATCGTTCCAAAATGAATTCAATGGACCTGGAGCTTCAATATGCATAAAACTTTAGAAGATGGATTTAGTCTTGCTAATTATTGCCCTTGGGATAAATCCTCCAGCCCCTGAAGCTCCCCAAGCAACCAGTTCGGGTGCAAATTACCCAAGTAATTCTCTCCAAGTCAGGGAGTCCCTTCCTTTTTAGGATGCTTACATCGATCCCATGGCGCTAGATGGATTTTCTGATGCTCATGCGTGTTAAACCAGATGAAGAACATAACACCTTTTTTATCTTGGCCAAGGCTTCCTTTGGTGCTCTAAAAAACCCACAGAAGTATAACGGTTCGCTGCAAGACAACATTACTAAAACTGCTTCTTCCACCAACTAAAAGAAGCCAACCTTTCTAGCCATCTATTTCTTTTGTAGTTAAAAAATTTTCCATTCTAGATTGCAGATGAAGATGGTGAGGCGCCTAATGGAAGACCCAGATGATCAACAGATAGAAATTCTCATTCACATCCAAACAACTTGGAAAACATGTTGACATTATGGATATCACCTGATGTGACTTGGACAGTGAGCCAAAACCATTACCATGGATTTTGAAAGAAGAAACCAAGGGAAGGGAAGAAGAAGCTAGAAATTTGGCTAATTCTGGGAAACAGTTCGTGGTACCTACTTTGGAAGCTTGATTGTTTTGTTTGGGAGACATCCGAGGAATGGTGTGAGTTGTAGATGAAAGTAGACGTGTTTCTAAGCAATAGGCATCGTGAAGGCGTTGGATCATCAATTTGGAGCTTCCTAGACACCAAAAGAGCATCCTGAATCGTATGGTGACCAGTCAAAATCCAATGTTAGAGAGCCAATTCCAATATCGTGGAATAGAAGGACAATGAGTGGATTTTCGGCAGGGGAGATCCACGACCGTGGATTCAAGGGTAGACCATGGATTTGAAACTGATGAGTTAAAATTACCTTTTCGGTTTAGGATTTTGTTTCTTTTCGGATTTTTGGTTATTTTATTTGCTCCGGACTATATACAGGGCTAAAGACACGAATTTTGGCAGAGTTTGATGAATATTGATATTTCCTTTGTTCTTTGAGCTTTAGACTTGAGAATTTTCTGTTTTTTATAAATTAAGTTTTCCCCTTGATTGTGGTCGAGCTTCTACCTTTTATATTGTTAGAGCCTTCTCCCATCTTGTGTTGAGATTGCTCTTTCAATTCCATATTATCCCAAACAAATAAAAACCCTAAAAATCTATTTTCTTGTTCGTTCTTGAAGCTGCATTACTTTGATAAATACGTGCGCTGGATTCGTGCTCGTATCATCACCAACCCGATATAACATGTTTTTATCCAGATTCACTTTAAGGCAAGTTATATTTTGGAAGCACATAAGTGCAACTCATCAACTTAATCATGTATTCTTATGTTGCGTTGCAAATGATGATCACATCATTTTGCATATAGAAGGTGCATTACCTCTCCAACCTGTGTTCTTTCATCCATATAGAATGTCGTAAAAAGCCCAGCCTTCCTAACCTCTTGAATTTTAAATGAGAGATTAACCACGACGAGGCTGAATAAAACGGGAAAATAAGATATCTTTCTTTAAGGTCTCTGCCTATAAAAAAAATCGATGTTTCCTCATGTACAAGAACTCACAACCTTGAAGATCAAACAATCCCCTTCTGTCCATTTTTTGATTTTCCAATCAAAACACATGGCATTCAAAGTTCTCAGAAGGCAACCTATGTCAAAAGCTCGTTTAATATCAAACTTGAAAATGAGGCCTGGTTTTCCACTTCTTCTGCCGAAGATGACAAATTCATGGATATGTCTACCTTTAATCCGAGTAAACCGATGCCGAGAAATATATCGGTTCACGAATGGTTAAATACGAGCATAATATCTTTGGATCCTCACTTCATCAACCTTCGAACTCAACTATAAACACCACAAACTACTTTATGCTTTTGAGTGGGGTATGATCATATGAATACGGGACAAGTTAGATTTTAGATCTCGTTGAAGAATTATTCTCAATGGAGTAGGCAAATGCTATAAAGCAAATCCTCATTGGCCCAATTCTTCCATATGATACTTGGATGTGATGTATTACTCCGTTATGAATTTGATAATGCCAGACCTTATAAATGTTATGATGGGAGATCTGAGTAATTTCCGCCTTAAAGCGCTATAATCTCCAAACTGATTAGGTCGTTATAACATAACGAGCACTTCCTCTATAAAAGTAATCCAAAGTCTTGATGTCATGACATGATTCCTCTTTTGAGAGCTACTATTAGGGGTGGACAACGGGACGAGATAGGATACCCGTCCCGTTTGAAACGGGTACCCAGTCCCATTTGATGAGCAATCTCTATCCCATGTCCCAAACCCATACGGGTTAATGAGTATCCATACTACCCGTAAATACCCGTACAATTGGTGGAAAAACTACAAAATTTTTAACAAAATTAAACAAACCCACCTAATATTAAGAAGCTAAAGAGGCTACTGTGAGAATAAGCCAGGCTTAGTCACACAAGCCAACCACACCTCTTCTCAAGCCTCTAACACTGCGTACCTCTTCAGTAGTAAAACACTAAAACAATCCAACAATTTGCATACAGAAGCCATCAGAAATCCAACTACTAACTCACATCAATATTAAAACACTAAAAACAATCCGCTGCTTACCTCTTCTCAAGCCTCTAATAGTCGGTTGTTGAGGGAGAAATCCGGCTATGAAGTAGTCGGCGGCGGCAGTTGAGAGTAGAAGCAATTGGTAGTTGGGTTTTAGGTTTTTGACAAATGGGTATAACGGGTACCCGTAATACCCAAACCGGTATTGACGGGTAACCGGCGGGTACCCAAAGTAGCGATTCTAAATCCCAAGTCCCATCCCATAAAAAAATACGGGTATTTGGGTACCCGTAACTCTTAATAAACGGGACAGGTATGGGTATACCCAAATACTATTTTCCCGTTGCCCACCCCTAGCTACTATATCATGGAACCACATTAAATAAATAAATAAATAAAAGTTGTTAAAAACGGAAACCATTATTTCCAAGCTCTCGCATGTTACAAGTCACAAACAAAAGGCAACATATCCTGAGGCCGAGGGAAATACACGAAACAAGAGAGAGACGTGGTCATTCTATTTGCCCTTCATTAGATTACACACCATATCCACACCCACCGTCACCTCAAATCCACTCATCCCATCACTCTATTTTCCTTCTAAAGGTTTTGTTTCTCAGAAAACGACAGCTTCATTTTCATTTTAGTTTTGTTTTCTGTTGTGGCAGCTATCAGAAATGGAATGACAAGTAAACGGCCCATCAATTTTCTTTTCTTTTTCTCGTGTGAAGGGAAAAAATGAACAGAGCTCCCCTGTTTCTTGCTTACACCTAGCTACTTCTTCACCACACAAAAAAATCTCAGGTGAGGGGAAAAGAAACACGGGCAGAAGGAGAGGAAAATTCAGACTGAAACCAACATAAGCAACTCCAATGGCTTCTCAAACAATGTTGTTCTCTTCCGGGGTTTCCACAAGGCCAGTTGTCGATCTGAAGAGAGACTCAATGCTTCAGTTCCAGGCTTCCAGCAGCTCCACCACAGTTTAGTAAAGGCTTAATTGCAAGTTCGGTCACTCGAATTGCTATAAAATTTCACGTTTGCCACTCAAATTAATTTATTCCATTTATAGTCACTCGAATTAGTTGAACAGTTCAAGTTCGGTCACTCTCCGTTAACCTCCGTTAACTTTGACTGACGTGGCGGTCAACTCTGACAGTTGACCGTTAAATGTATGACGTGGCAAATAAAAAATAATTAAAAAATAAAAATTAAATTTTTAGAAATTACATATCATTATCACAAAAAATTATAATTATAAAAAATAAAAAAATAAAAGAGCCTTGATCCTTCTACAGAGCCTTGACCGCCGAGTTCATCGCCACCCTCCTCTTCCTCTACATCACCGTCCTCACCGTCATCGGCTACAAGTCCCAGTGCGACCCTCTCCACAGCAAGGGCGACCCCTGCGCCGGCGTCGGCATCCTCGGCATCGCCTGGGCCTTCGGCGGCATGATCTTCGTCCTCGTCTACTGCACCGCCGGCATCTCCAGTAATTAAAGTCTCCCCCTTCCCCTTCCATTTTCAGTTTCGAATTCGTTAATTGTTGCTCTTGAAATGGCGGCATTATTGATTTCTCATAGACGAACAGAAGACTCTGTTTTTTTCCGCCCCCCCCCCCCCCCCCAATTTGGGGAAACTGCAGTTTCGGAAGAACCCAAAAATGGAGCTTGCTTCCCCTGTTATCAAAATCGATCTAATTCTTCTGGGTCTGATCTTTAGTTGGAAACTTTGATGAAAAAACGGCGGCATTATTACTTTATCATTAACGAAATGAAGACTCTGTTTTTTCCCCCCAATTTGGGGGAAACTGGAGTTTCCGAAGAACCCAACTGGAGCTTACTTCCCCTGTTAGCATAATCGATCCAATTCTGCTGGGTCATATCTAAAGTTGGGAACTTTGATGAAAATTGAGGGAAAGAAGCTGAATTCATTTTTTTTCTTCCCCCGGTAGGTGGCCACATTAACCCGGCGGTGACGTTCGGGCTGTTTCTGGCGAGGAAGGTGTCGCTGATACGGGCGGTGATGTACATGGTGGCACAATGCTTGGGGGCAATTTGCGGTGTGGGGTTGGTGAAGGCGTTTCAGAAGTCTTACTACACAAGGTACGGCGGCGGGGCAAATTCTCTTAACGATGGCTACAGCGCCGGCACCGGATTGGGCGCGGAGATCATCGGAACTTTCGTGCTGGTTTACACCGTCTTCTCCGCCACCGACCCCAAGTTGCAGTGGATCTTCTAATTATTTGCTGTACGATTCTGTGGGCTGTAGCTTTCTTGCATGTATTCGATCTTAATTATTTCTTCTTCTTCTTCGATCTTCTTCCATTGCTGGATTTCTGTGCCTTGTTATCTGCTCTTCCTATCAATATAGTGAACAAAGCATGCTCCTTCGGCCATAAGTTGGTACCAATTCCCTTTCTTCTGCAGCGTGACTGCTTCAGTTTCAAGTTTCAACTGCGACGCCAAAATTTGTGTTGTTTGTTTTTGTGATAATTTCTTTGTGATAATGATGTGTAATTTTTTTTTGTGATAATTTCTTTTTTTCATTTTTTATAATTATAATATTTTGTGATAATGATGTATAATTTTTAAAAATTTAATTTTTATTTTTTAATTATTTTTTATTTGCCACGTCACACATTTAACGGTCAATTGTCAGAGTTGACCGCCACGTCAGTCAAAGTTAACGGAGGTTAACGGAGAGTGACCGAACTTAAACTATTCAATTAATTCGAGTGACTATAAATGGAATAAATTAATTTGAGTGGCAAACGTGAAATTTTATAGCAATTCGAGTGACCAAACTTGCAATTAAGCCGTTTTGTAAAGCCCAGTTCATTCGCATCTCATCTCCTCTACAGCCCACTTCCATCTTCCTCCAGATCGCTCACCACTGTCGCTCTATTCAAATCTAAAACCAAGGCTGCTCCTACGAAGGTAAAACCAACCTTGCCTGTGAGCCCAGACTCTGCCTCTCACGGTTCTTTGCTCTGCTTTTAGTACGGAAATGTTGTTTTCAATTATGTGTATATATGCATGGACAGGCTCCTCCACCAAAGCCCAAAGTTGAGGACAATATCTTTGGAACATCGAGAGGGATTGGTTTCACCAAGCAAAATGAGCTCTTCGTGGGGCGTGTCGCCATGATTGGCTTCGCTGTGAGTCTTGTTGACAGATTTAATCTTGAATCTCGGTAGCTCTTTGTTTTTGCCTCTGCCCCCTTCCAATTTTTGACTCTCAGATTGAGTGTGACTTAGAATGAAGTTAGCCCCTTCCAATTTTATATATGGCTGGTGCAGGCATCTTTGCTGGGGGAGCTCTAATAGGGAAGGGAATTCTATCCCAATTGAATCTGGAAACTGGAATCCCAATCTACGAAGCCGAGCCGCTCCTCCTCTTCTTCATCCTCTTCACTTTGTTGGGCGCCATCGGAGCGTTGGGTGACAGAGGACGCTTCGTTGACGACGAAGAGCCCACGGGACTCGACAAGGCCGTCATCGCCCCCGGCAAAGGCCTCAGGGGCGCTTTGGGCCTCCGTGAAGGAGGTAATTAAGTTTTATTTTCACTTTTTTTTCTTTCTAAACAGTCAAATTCTCTCTGTTTTTTCTGAACAAGATGATGATTAATTAACTAAATTTGCCATCTCTGTTTCGCTTAAAAGGGATTCTGTTCGGATTCACAAAGTCAAACGAGCTGTTCGTGGGGAGATTGGCGCAGCTGGGGATTGCCTTCTCGCTGATTGGGGAAGTGATAACAGGGAAGGGAGCACTGGCGCAGCTCAACATTGAAACCGGGATTCCCGTCAACGAGATCGAGCCGTTGGTGTTGTTCAATGTCCTGTTCTTCTTCATTACTGCATTGAACCCTGGCACTGGCAAGTTCGTCACCGATGAAGGCGAAGATTAGTAGTGTTTTTAATTAGTGGGTTCTCTCAATCTTTCGGTTTTGTTGCTGTCCGAAATTTTCCTGGGAAAGATTATGATAACCGTTCACCGTGCATGTACGTAATTCATCTTCTCTCAATAGCGAATGATCTGGCCTTCTTCCAGCAGATAAACTTTGCCAAGGGTTTTGCGAGAGAGAATACTCACACTAAACTATCCATGTTCGAACAAGAATATCAAAGATATTTAGGGGTTTATAATAATAAGTATTAAAGTTAAGCAAGCAAGAAAAGTAACATATATTTAGAGGGGGAGGGGGTTTTCCAGTTATATAGATTCATAAGAGTAAAGATACAATGTTGAATAGAAACGCATACTCGAATCCTATCATATATATCAACACTCTCGTTTATATTATGCATTAATGATTTATCTATAGCATCACTTCTAATACGGCCATCATCGAGCTTCCGCCACATGCAATAGGAAGTTGACTTGCTAATGCGTGCTTTCGCTTCATGCCATCACCTAATCAATGAAGAATAAAGAAGTGAGGATATCAAATGATTAAGTGTGAGCCTCTTGAACCATAATCGATGGTCTATAGCGTCGATGATATAACAATCAAGCATCAATACTATGCAAGATATAGATGTTGATCAACACCCTATATAAACCCACCCCCTTCCTCTCATTTTCTTCACACCAAACCCCCTATCTCTTATCTCTCTCTAAGTTTCTCACTCTACCCATCCCCCTCCCCATCGAAAATCCTTGGAAGTAGTTGTTTTGTTGGTTGCGGCTAAGTCTGATCTGCCTTCAAAAAACTTTTCTTTGGTTTTCACTAAAAACCGTCGAATCTCTGTCCGGATCCTGAAAAAATGGCCGATTTTATCCAAGAAGAGGGTATTTACTATGATGATTATCAAGCGGTACGTACTCATTTTACCCAATTTTTGTTGTTGTTATAATGATTAATTTAATTTATATACTAATTGATTTATGTTGTTGTTATGCTACTGTAGGTTGGGCGGTTTTTAATTAACAGTGGTAGATTTGGAAATTCTTCGGAATGGGTGGTATTTTTGTACTTTTATCTTTAAAACAGTGGTAGTTTTGGATTTATTCGGCTATCTTGGATATGAAAACTGTGGAATATCATATAAAGTATCTGAGCTTGCCTAGTGTCATCGGAAGAGAAAATAAAAGCCGTCTTTAGCTATCTTGTTGATGGGGTGAGGAAAAAGGTGAAGTTATGGAATTGTAAATTACACTTTAATGGAGGGAAGGAGGTTCTTATTAAAGTAGTAGCACATGCTTGTGCAACCTATGTTATGCAAGTTTTTATTGTTCACAGCTCAGTTATATACGAAATGCAGAGCTTACTGATAACTTGAATCCGTGCAGGTTATTGTTAGAGGTTAGCACGTATCAACAACTATCTCATTCTAGGCCAAGTTTAACCTATAATGGCATTGTCGTATAGTGGTAATCAAGTCGTATTCTACTATGGTCCTGGTAACCTAGCCTACTTTCCACCTAGTTGCAAATGAGTTAATCGGTTTTTGAGGTTTTGAGTGGAGGATATGAGGAAACACTATTCTAAAGATTAGTCAAAGCTAAAAGCATGTACTTCGGGGAACTACCCCTCCCCCTAGCTTAGGATCACTATGCACATATAGATACTTAGAGTCATCGAATGTGGTGAGTGAGCTCTTTTCCGTGGTCTTTCGTGGTTATCCACACGCCTCCGAGTATTCCTCCTCTAAACCCATGTTTCAGTCACCTTGATCTATGCTATCGTATCTGGGACATTAAGCTTATGGCTCATTTCAATAGACACTATCAACCGTCCACACTGAGGTTTCCTCCCGAGTTCATCTAGAAAGGTTGTCAACCCGCGGGTTGACCCAGGTTGACCCGGACCTGCCTATAAAAATGGGTTACAGACACCCATTTGAGTGTCAGCCCGGATTTGGTCAAACCCGATGAAACCCGGTCAAAACTAGTGAAACCCGTGCGGTTGGCCCATTGGAGTGGGTTAGCGGGCTTCTCCTCGTGGGGCGTCGTTTCTCGATGTGCCCCTGGGTGCGCCGTCGTTCTCATTGTTGAGATTTCACCTGGAGACTACAACAACAAGCAGAGCACTGGAAATCAAAACCCTAAATCAATTTTGGCCCCTGGAAACGAATTGGTGACCTCTGTTTCTTCTACCACCCTGGTGCTCGCGCCCGTCGAGTGGTCGACGTCGTCATGGTGGCCAAAGAGTGGCACGACGCAACTACATGCGAAGGAATTGTGGACGTGAAGGTCCCCGTGGAGATAAGGAGGCCGGTGGACTTGAAAGAGATGAAAGGTGATGGTGAGTTTCATCTTTCGTGGCGGTGTCGATGGAGGTTTGGGAGAGAGTTTGTGAATTGGGCGGTGGGTTCGAAAGAGATGGGAATGCCAGGGCGGTGGCGAGGAGGATTGAACGTACCCACCACCAAGGGTTTCCAATTAATTGCAAAAATTTGGGGATGGTTTTGTCTGTTTATGCAAAATCATATTGAAAGAATTATTATTAGCTTTCTGATTATGCTTTGATTTTCCCTTTCTCATCATAAGTGATGTTCAATTTTTATTATGTTGGATTTAAGTTTAAGTTATAGGATGAATTTAAGTGTATTGAATTTTAACGGGTGTGAAATTTTTACTATGTTGGATTTAGGACAACTACATTATAGTGACCGTTTCTATATATCCGGGCTAATCCGGGCTAAAACGGGTGACCCATTAACCCATGACCCATTAGTTCGATCGGGTCCGGGTTGACCTGCGGGTTGACAACCCTAGGAAGGATGCCTATAGCAAGGGTTCGGTTGCCTCGACCAATAGGCCCCCATTCACACATCTAACCTAAACTCGCTAGATGGCGCATACCCGTCTAACCCTAAAACTCCGTACCCAGTGCGGTAGCATAAAGTAGGCTAAGAGGGAAGATTAGGGCAACTTACCCAAGCTTCATCATTTAGGAAAGAGTGGCATTAAAATCAACTTGACAAACACAATCATTCAAACCCTAAAATATTCATATATACATTGTAAACCCTAAAACTAGAGTTTGGGATTTAGAACACCTAGTACCTTATAGGACTACTCCATAAAAGAGTGAAGAAGATACATGGTAGAAATAGAAGAAGACTTGGGGTTGAAGAAGATGCCTCCTTACTCCTAGCTCCTCATCCTCCTCCTCCTTCTCTTCTCCTTCCTTGAGCTTCTCTCTTCTCTCGCTCTAGAACCAAAAAGTTTCTCTCAAAATCAGCTCTTTTCAAAAGGGAAAGGGGTCTTGTATTTATAGGCATTCTGGACTCGGAAATGTTTGCGGACTGAGGAAAGGAGATCACCAGGGGGATCTTTGGTCTATGGGTCGTGGTCTCAAAACGCATTCGTCGAGGTCTTCGGAAAGGGGAAGATCGCAGGCTGACTTCGCGGTCGTGATCCATGAGTCGCGGCCCGTTCTTCCTCGCGGGAAAAATGAATATTGACCGTGATGCGACTGGGGAGACTCTCTGATCTCCTAGCTCTCCGAAAAGAAGCTCCTATTGAATCAACAATCTCAGGGTTCTCCAAGTCTCATTCCTCGCGAATTTTGCACCCTGGCCTCCAACATCGCAGTCGTGATCTATGGCTTTTAGGCCGCGATCTTCAGCTGGTCTTCGCGGCTTGTGATCCCAACCATGGTCTTTGACTTTTAGGCCACAATCTTCAATTACTACCCCCTTCTCTACACTTGTGACCTTGTTTTGTACATATCAACTAATAACCTAAAATTACATCGAAATCAAATAGGAACGCAATAGGAATGTTTTTGACGATGTTCAAGCATTTAAGCACATGAATAGGCATAAAGCACACCTAGATATGTAGAGTAAATAACACCAAGTTTGGTATTATCACTTACTATCAAATTTCTAGTAGGGGCAAACATAAATGCAGAACGTAGTACACATTGAATTGGCTAGAATTATCTATGTCCTAGAAAGTCAAAAGGAGAGTTGGTTTTAGTCTCCATGATTTTAACCTAGTTTTGTTGGGTAAACAAAACTTGAATTTCATATAGAACCCTACATCCTTTGGTAGCTCGAGTTATGAAGGAAAAAATACTTCCTAAAACGAGACATATTGAAAGCTGAGTTGGGCTATAACCCTAGTTATGTTTGGAGGAGCATCCTTGCAGCTCAGGATATGGTGAAAGAATGTATAAGGTGAAAGATTGGTAATTGTATTAAGGTGTAGATCTGGTTGGATAAGTGGAGAATGGATGCCTGAATTGCAAAAGTCGGAGGGAGAGGAACATTCATTTATGGAACAAAAAGAAACTCGAAGAGAGTGAGATAATGGGTTAGGCGGATTGGTGGCTTCAAGAGTGCATGGACTGGAATATTAACAAGCTCGACCTTTGGAGAGCCATAAGCAAGAGTAAAGGTGGAAACCGCCGGAGACATTGATTTTTAAAATCAATGTTGATGTTGCATGATCTGAGGGAGCTGGTACAGGCTTTGAGGTGGAGCTTAGGGATGTGGGGAAGGTTTTTCGATACTCGGTGTGAGGAGATTTCAGGTATACTGGTCACCGGAATTGGCTGTAATATAGGCCATTCATTTTGGTTTAAAGGTGACGGAAGAGTTTGATTTCTCTCCGGCGGTGCTTGGGAATGATTGCCTTTGGGTGGTTCAGATGCTGTAGAGGGAGGAAATGGCAATGCTAGAAAAAGGCGAGATAGGATTAGGAATTGATTGTAGAAGCATTTTATGTTATTCATTGAACAACAAGAAGAATAAGAGTTGTATAGTATTGCGCCACAACCAACTTGTGAAAACTTTCTTCAACTCCTTTTTGGAAGGTGAGGATGTCCTTGCAAAGGATAGTAGACATAGAACCGGTAGGTTTCGAAACACAAAGCCCTTCATAATCAGACCCCAAGGGGGAAAAGTCGATGCCATGAGCTCCTTGTACCGCTTAGCCGGTTTTTCCTTCCAA